CAGTCCCACGCCCATCTGGAGTGGGAGCCATGAGTCAGTGTTGGAGAAAAGCCAGTTAGAACCACTATTTTTAAAAAGTGCTTACTGTGCACAGATTCTCCTCAAAGCACTGGACATGGATTCTCCTCTGGCCCTCACAGCACCCTGGTGGCATGAGTGCCGCCTCTCCCCGCTGGTGACGGGGCACAGAGCCACTCATTATTCTGCATGGCATTCCATAGGTTGGGAGTTTTGTTTATCTCTTCAAACTTCGTACAAGAGCTCATGGCTTGCCTTGAGCTTTCACCATTAAACCAAAGAAAATGGAAGCCACTCCCCTGTTGGTCTCCTTCGTCTTGGTTATTGGAATCTCACTTGGTATCATTTAGATCAAAAGCTTTGTAACTGCAGGAAAAGATTACACTCATCCATCCCTTAAAGAATAGAATAGCTGGTCCCTCTCATGGGAATTGGGCTGTAGATATATCGTTCTTCCTCCTTAGAACGCAGAGATCCAAGAGTTCTTATAACTTTTCACGGACACACTTTCCACAACCTTTCGGATGCTGATGTAGAGCTATTGGGAAGGAACTTCCACACTCAGGAAGCTTACAGAGAGCAGACAGCTAGAGATAACTCGGGAACCAGAGTTAGTTGACAGATGTTAGATATATCCTAGCCTTTAGCTATAAAGCACTCAAAGATTCAGCTCCCAGATCCCACAGTCAGAACTGAATCTGGGTTGCTGGGGAGGGAGTGGTGACCTTGGGAAGGAAGCCATTGCTGTGGTTCAGAGAGGGTAGGCTTGCAAGCCACTTCCGGGTAAAACTTCTTCCGCCTGAGGTTTCTTCTAAGGAGAGATCGTTCTCACCAACCCACTGCCTTCATGCTGCCTTCAAAAGCAGATCACGTCTGCCTCGCTTAGAGAATTATGCAAATCATCCCCAGTGCTTGGCAATGCATTTAGAGATTTTTAGAGCCTCAGGGTTTTGTAGAGTGTGAGCCCTGGTGGGCAGGGTTAGGGGTCTGTCTTCTGCTGGATGCTGCTTCTCATACATTTGGTGTACAGAATCAACAATAAATGGTATACGCAGACCGTGTGTGCTCTCCATGGATGTCTTGGTGAGGGGGAGGGGGTCTCACACCTGTGGATTCTGCTCTTGCCATGCTTGTGCAAGGTACAGAAAGCAGATTCTTGGCTGAGAATAGGACTTTGGAAGGTGAGTGGGAGGCTAGTCTCGGTGGCCTCCCTGTAATCCCAGCACATTGGGAGACAGAGGTGGGTGGATCACCTGAGGTCAGGAGTTCAAGACCAGCCTGGCCAACATGGTGAAACCCCATCTCTACTAAAAATAAAAAATTAGCATGTGCCTGTAATCTCAGCCAGTCAGGACGCTGAGGCAGGAGAATCACTCGAACCCAGCAGGCAGAGGTTGCAGTGAGCAGAGATTGTGCCACTGTCCTCCAGCCTGGGCGACAGAGCAACAGAGCAAGGCTCTGTCGAGAGAGAGAGAGAGAGAGAGAGAGAGAGAGAGAGAGAGAAAAGAAACAAAAAAGGAAAAAAGAAAAGAAAGTGAATGAGGACCAAAAAGGAAATAACAAATAATATCTATAAGCCACCTCAGCTGGAACAGACCTTAAGGTTAAGTTCAACCCATTTTGTAGAGGAGGAAAATGAGCTGAAGACAGGAAATGAATTTCCTGCAGTCACCCAGTAAGCCAGTGGCTGAGCTAGCCCTGCAACCCAGGTCTTCAGGCTCCCAGGCTGGTTCTTTTATGCCACCAGGAAGGCACTGATATTCACTCAGCATTTGTTTGAAGCACACGTGTGTATGCACACACACACACACACACGTGCACGTGGGCAGGTGGTAGGACTGTCTTGCACACCTCTGAACTCTTATGACTACTTAACACCAGTGTCAGAAGACACTGTCTGAATGAAGCTGACTACCTCCAAGTGCCCAGGCGTCCCCAGAAACCAGGTCTCTGTGTCCCAGGGGTGTCACGGCTGCTGGTGCAGCTCCAGCAGTTAAGAGAGGGATGATCTGCTGTTCCTTTATTTCACAGTTATACCCAGGAAAAGGGCTTCCAATCATATTTACCTGGACTCTTTTAGCACCTTAGATCCCCTCCGCCAGGTGTAAGCCTGTCCCAGGAGATTAAGCTGGACAGGAGTCAGTCAAGTTCAGTGTATTATAGGGCTAGACCCCTTCAATAAGGGGCCAGAGGCTTGCTGCCCTTCCCTAACCACTGAAATGTAGTACACTCAAACAGCTTTCTGGAACTTTGGATAATGGAGAAAGGAGTTAGAATCTTTGTCCCTTCTCTCTCAGAAGATCTTTGGAATTTTTTTAAATTTTTTTTATTTTTTATTTTTTTTTTGAGATGGAGTCTTGCTCTGTCACACAGGCTGGACCACAGTGGTGCAATCTCGGCTCACTGCAACCTTCGCCTCCTGTGTTCAAGTGATTCTTCTGCCTCAGCCTCCTGGGTAGCTGGGACTACAGGCATGTGCCACCACACCTGGCTAATTTCTGTATTTTTAATAGAGACAAGGTTTCACCATAATGGCCAGGCTGGTCTCGAACTCCTGACCTCATGATCTGCCTACCTCAGCCTCCCAAAGTGCTGAGATTACAGGTATGAGTCACCGCACCCGGCTGATTTTTGGAAGTTTTAAGGCAAGTCCCCTTCCACAGATGTCTCATGACACACACACACACACACACACACACACACACACACACACGAGTCTCTCTCTCTCTCCTGCCTCCCCAGACCTTCTGCCACACCCATTCCCCAGATGAGAATGCAGAGACTTGTAGAGATGAACTTGTCTAAGGACTGACTAGCTAGTTGAAGAGTCAGAATTCAAACTGAGATCTGTCCAATGCCAAGTTTCTCTTGTTCACCAGGCCATGTCGAGCAATGCGCAGACGGTGTTGCTGGAGGTGAATGGGGATGCCTTGAGAACCTGGCAAGTGAAAGGCAGCGCCAGGCTCTTCCCAGACCTGCTTGTGAGTGCCCCACACAAGCCGCTTCTCCAAGCCACTGTCCTGCCCTTGTGAGTGCCCCACACAAGCCGCTTCTCCAAGCCACTGTCCCGCCCTTGCCAGTCCGGGGGCTGCTGAGGGGGAGCTGGGCACACTATGTTCACCAACTTTCGCCATCTAAGAGGCTTCTGCTCACCTCTGCCAGAGTGCATTTGTGGCATAGCGCCACTGAAACACACTTCCTCGCCATGCTCTATCAGGCCTTTGCAGTTTGGCTGATGCAATTGGCTCACAAGCAAATAAAACATTAATTTTCACTCATAAAAAGTGTGAGATAAAAATTAATGCCATGCGGTGAGAGAAAAGGCCATCAGTCTACTTTAAATAGTAGACTCGGCATTGAGACAATCTTGGATTGCTTGTCTGGGTCACCCCTTCACCCTGCACTCCTTTAAATATACACCTACTCCTACACTCTCACCACAGACCCACACTCTCACACTCACTGCACACTCACACCCACTCACCACACCCCCCACACCCCCCGACACATTCACTTACCCACTCACCACACCACACTCGCTCACACACCTGACACACACACTGCACACTCATACACAGCCACTCACCACACACCCCAATGCACTCATCCCTGCACAGCTATCCATACTCACCACACACCACACATACACACATGGACTCGCACACACACCCAAACACACGCATTCACACACACAGTAACATATACAACCCCTCCACACCACAAATACACACACCCCCACACACTCACCACACCCTCCCCACATACAGTCGTCACACGCACACACATGCATCACACCCACACACTCATATACCCATAGTAATCACACACCCCCACACCACACATCCACTCACACTCACCACACATGCTCTCACACACTCATCACACACACACATGCTCACTCATATATACCCACACACCACACATGCACCTACACCCACTCACACCCACTCACACACACACCACACACACATGTACTCACCACGCACACAACATACACACCCACTCACACATATACATACTCACACCACGCACACCTACACCCACTCACACACCCACCACACCCATACACACGCACTCCCCCCCACACATGCCCACTCACACATATACATACCCACTGACACCACACACACACCTACACCCACTCACACACACACCACCCTGACATGCACGTACGCACTGCACACACAACATACACGCTCACTCACACAGGTACATACCCACTTACACCACACACACCTACACCCACTCACACACCCTACACCCACTCACACCACACCCACACACACGCACTCCCCCCACACACAACATACACGATCGCTCACACATGTACGTACCCACACCACACACACACCTACACCCACCACACACACACCACACCCACACGCACACATGCACCACACACACACTCTGCGTGTCCCGCAGCCCTGGCTCCACACCTCCAGAGACAGGAAAGTCCCTCCCTCCCAAAGCAGCGTCTTCAGCCCTTAGGCAGCCCTGAGCGTGTGAGCGCTCCTCTCCATCCTGAGCCCGAATTTACCTCCCCGTAACTTTTCCCCTTCTAACTCAGAAAGCGTTTAGAAAGTTCATTAGTTCAACAAACAAACAAATAAGACAAAACTACAAATCGAAGCCCTCTTGGAATGTCTCAGCGCTGAGAGCCGAGCAGGGGCCCAAGGATGAAGGCAGGCCTCCAGTTCCTCTGCCTCTGCTCCTGGGGCGCGGGTGTGAGCGAGGACCCCATCGCAGTCCTCCGCACCTCAGCAGCTGGCGGAATTTCTAGCCTTGGGGTCCTGAAGGAGCCAACCCGGCAACCCAGGGTGGGGGGGATTTCGGCCTTGCCTGGGCTCTGTAGGCGGGTGTAGTTCAGGGTCATTTTGCAATCTTCAGAGGCCTTGCCGAGGCCCTCTCCCGACCTGTGACCCCAGTGACATCCCGGGACGTTCGGGCCACGTGAGGGGAGGAGCCACTGCCTGGAACTTTGATCAGCGTGGGGGGCTGGATTGAGCTGACCACAGGCCACACCAGACTCCCTTCTGCTCCCGAGGAAGACCGGGCAGCCCGGCGCCACCTGCTCAGCTCTCACGGTAGGCTCCCGGGGTCACTAAAGGGCTCCTGCATCTGCAGGGACGTGGGGGCGGGAGAGGGACTTGCGATCTCCCTGGTTTCAGAGCATTCCGCAGCTCCAGACAGGCTGCAGTTCCTGGGGGGACCCTGTCACGGGAGGAGAAGTCCGCGAGGTTCCCGGCAGGAGGAAGGTGGGGGGTGGGGTGCGGGGCTGGTGGCTGTCAGATGAAGACCACTGCTGGGTCTCTGCCTGCAGGGAGCTCCTAGTGAGTAGAGGATAGGCAGGGCGACCAGATGTCTAGGTTGGCCTGGTTCTGCCTAGTTTATACTTGTCATCTTGGCTTAATAAATCGTATTAACTATTTATTAATACTATGTTAATATTAAATATTATTTATTAATATCATTATTGTTTTTTTGAGATGGGGTCTTGTTATGTTGCTCAGGTTGGTCTTGAACTCCTGGCTTCAAGCGATCCTCCCACTCAGCCTGCTGAGTAGTTGGGATTACAAGCGCACACCTCCGCACCCAGCTCAGGCACAAAGATAAGTGGCTCTTAGTTTCCTTCGCAGAAGCTGCTGGCTCATATGATCAAAGTTACGGTCATATAAAGCTGCAGGGAGCCGCCTTTTAAGGGCTTGGGTTAAGGGCTTTATATTTCCTACCTTATTTAGCATATTTATCATCCAATGGAGTGCTAATATTAACCCTAAGGGCAGACGTGTTAATTTAGGAAGGAAAAACTGAGGCTTAGAGAGTTGGAGTGATTTGCCCAAGACCCCACGGCTAGTAAGTGATGGCGTCAGAATCTGATCCCAGCTTGGGTCACTGGCAGAGCGAAAGTGCTTTCCCCTGCTACTAAGCAGGATGAGAGTGAAGCCTGAGATGTAAAGTCACCGAAGGTCCGGAACACATTCCCTTCAATTCACCGTGCAGGGCCTGGCTGCCTTCGAAGTGCCTAGCCCTGAGCCAGGTGCTGGGGTGCAGCTGAGCCGCTCACAGAGACGGGTCTGTTTTCTAGTTTTTTGAAAACTAGACCATGTAGTCTAGTTCTGAAGGTTGCAAAATGACCCTGAACTACACCCACCTACAGAGCCCAGGCTCAGATGGATGGGTGCACCCAACTAGAAAACAGAGCGGGAGAGCCCAGGCATTCAACACAGTACCAGAGGATCCGAGGATCCAAGAAAGGGCTGGTTGCTGTGGCTCCTGCTGGTAATCCCAGCACTTTGGGAGGCTGAGTCGGGCAGATCACCTGAGGTCAGGAGTTTGAGACCAGCCTGGCCAACACGGTGAGACCCTGTCTACTAAAAATACAGAAATTAGCCGGGTGTGGTGGCGGGCACCTGTAATCCCAGCTACTCAGGAGGCTGAGGCAGGAGAATCACCTGAACCTGGGAGGTGGAGGCTGCAGTGAGCCAAGATTGCGCCACTGCACTCCAGCCTGGGTGACAAGAGGGAAACTGTCTCAAAAAGAAAAAAAAAGGATAGTCAATGAAGGCTTCATGGGGTAAGTGTGACTTTTGCTGGCCTGGAAGGGTGGGTATAAATCAAGAGGGTGGCATAGTGCCCAGTTCATGACTGCCTCTTGGTGCAACCTGTCAGCTGTCTTCTCTTCCAGAACACTCACACAGCTGATAGACAAGCTCCCTTGGGCCTTTGCAACGTCACTGCCTGGAAGGAAAGAGTCACGTAAGCACCTACTATGTGTGTGGAATTGTGCTTTGCATTTTTCACGTTTATCTCAATATTTAGAATAAAATAGGTTTCAACCTTACAGGAAAAGTGATATGTTTCTTACCTAAAAATGTAGAACATATATATATATATTTTTTTTTGTTTGAGAGGGGGTCTTGCTCTCTGTCACCAGGCTGGAGTGCAGTGGCACAATCTCAGCTCACCGCAAATGTTGTAAACAAGCGAGTACAGAATCACCACTGAGACTAATGTAAGCCAGTTCAGAGGGTCATTTATTGCCGGTGACCACGGAGGACTAGGGTCTCTCCAATCCGTGGCCCAGAGCTCAGGGGGAGCAAGGGATTTAAGCAGAAAACCCACATCCTGGTGGGGCACAGGGTTCTTTTTTTTTTTGCAATCGGTGTTATGCAGAGCAAGCTAGCCCTTTTTCACAGAAGTCAACGTCAGCAGTTATCACAAGGAAAACGGGGCAGCAAGCAGTTATCACAAAGGAAACGGGGCAGCAGTTACAACTTATTTTTGGAAAAACCGTTTTTCTTGGTGGTTGCAGGGTGCAGGGTTTAAGATGGCATTGCTTAGGTTCTAACTCTGGGTCAGCTATGGCACATAACGTCCGTCTCCAGGTTCAAGCGGTTTTCCTGCCCTAACCTCCCGATTAGCTGGGACTGCAGGCACCTGCTACCACACCCAGCTAATTTTTGTATTTTTAATAGAAGTGGGGTTTCACCATGTTGGCCAGGATGGTCTTGATCTCTTGACCTCATGATCTGCCCACCTTGGCCTCCCAAAGTGTTGGGATTACAGGTGTGAGCCACCGTGCCCAGCCTAGAACATATATTTTTAAACACAAGGAAAAAATTAAAGTCATCCACAAATTGATTCTTCAGAGGCAACCACCACAAATATATATACATGTATTTTGAGATGGAGTTTCATTTTTGTTGCCCAGTCTGGAGTGCAGTGGCATGACCTTGGCTCCCTGCAACCTCCACCTCCTGGGTTCAAGCGATTCTCCTGCCTCAGCCTCCTGAGTATCTGGGATTATGGATGCACACCACCACGCCCAGCTAAAATTTGTATTTTTGGTAGAGAGAGGGTTTTCACCATGTTGGCCAGGCTGGTTTTGAACTCCTGACCTCAGGTGATCTGCCCACCTTGACCTCCCAAAGTTCTGGGATTACAGGTGTGAGCCACTGTGCCCAGCCCCACTGCAAATATTTTGTGCATAAGCTTCTATTATGTTTTCTGTGCACAAATACACCTTAAGAATGGAAAAGTAGCATTCTGGGATTTCATCTATTTCATTTAAGATATTGCAAACAGGCAGGCTGCGGAGGCCCACACCTGTAATTCCAGCACTTTGGGAGGTCAAGGTGGGCAGATCACCTGAGGTCAGGAGTTCGAGACCAGCCTGGCCAACATGGTGAAACCTCGTCTCTGCTAAAATACAAAAATTAGTTGGGCATGGTGGCACATGCCCGTAGTCCCAACTACTGAGGAAGCTGAGGCAGAGAATTGCTTGAACCTGGGAGGTGGAGGTTGCAGTGAGCCGAGGTCACGCCACTGCACTCCAGCCTGGGCGATAGAGCGAGACTCTGTCTGAAAAAAAACAGAAAAAAGATATTGCAAACATCTTGTCAATAAATAAACATCTATAATAATTTTTTTTCATTTAAAATTTTTGTTTTTATTTTTGAGACAAGCTCTCCCTCTGTCACCTAGGCTGGCGTGTGGTAGTGCAGTCACTCACTGCTCACTGCTGCCTCGACCTCCCAGGCTCAAGCGATCCTCCCGCCTCAGCCTCTCGAGTAGCTGAGACTACAAGCATGCACCACCATGCTCAGCTAATTTTAATTTTCTGTAGAGATGAGATATTATCATGTTGCCCAGGCTGATCTCAAACTCCTGGTCTCATGCGATCCCCCTGCCTCTGCCTCCCAAAGTGCTGGGATTATAGACATGAGCCTCTAACATAATTTGAAAGATAGCAGAGAGGATTTCCATTATATCTGCATAGCATAATTCATGTCACCCATCCCTCATGCTCGGCATTTGTGTTGTTTCTGTTTTTCTGCTGTGGTCCAATGCCTGTTAGCTCATTAGGAGCCACAATAGCCCTAATAAGGCTGTAATTCAGCTATTATGATGATGATTGTCATCATGGTTTACAGATGCAGAGGCTGGGACTCTGGGAGGTGGCTTTACTCCCTGGGACACAACTGGGCAGTGAATGGGGTGGGCTGGCCAGGGCAGGAGCAGAGGCCGGCACCCAGCCCAAGCCTAACCCCCTCAGCCACTAGACTTATCTTGCTGGGTTGAAAAGAGAGGGGACCAGGTCTGGGGAGCAAGGGGTCTTCTTAGAGGATCAGCTGAGGCAGCCGGGGACTCTGGACAGGTCTCAGAAGCCCCTCTTTGTGCTTCCAGCTGAGCTGGAGCGCAAGTGGCCAAATCCAGCCCTGTTGGTGAGGCAGACCTCCACATAGCCAGGCTCAGGCAGCAGTCCCTGGGTGTCGGGCCGGGTTTTGGCCCTATCACCCTGTGCAAGGTGTGAGGCTTAGCTCTGTGGTACATGACAGACCGGCTTGAGGCGTGCACAGAAATGTACCCTCCCAAGAGCAACTGAGGAGAGGAAGGAGTTCATTTGTACCCAGCCAACCCCTCCCTACCCCCAAAAAGACCTGTTTAAAAAGCCAGACTTCCTTGGCTTGCCCAAAGCGTGGAACATTTTTGTGGGCATCGGCTGGTCTTCTTCCCAGATCAGGAGCAGAAAGCCTCTGGCTGCCGCCCTGCTGTGGTCCTCAGGGCCAGCCTCCACAGTGCCCAGGCGGGGGCCCTTCCTTCTCCAGGGCTCCCCAGTGACCTGCTTACTTGAGGGCAGGCTGGGGAAGAGGCCCAAGTCCAGAGCCTCCCGGCCAAAGCCCTGAGAATCTGTGCTGCCCTAAACCAAGGACCAGACAGTGACGCTTTCCCTTGGCTGGAGGAAAGGAGCCAGGAGGAGGGCGTGGAGAGCCTCTCGCTGGCTCACAGTGGGGTGGCTGGGTGATCTCATGGGTTTCTCCCTAGCGAAGCTCTGACTGCTTCAGCACAGAGCTGGGGCCTCGCTAAACTCGGAGCATCAGGGTCACTAACGTTGCAGGTCACGTGCCGTGTGTCAGGTCCTGAGGTTGGAGCGTTCCAGGCATTTTCTCATTCCTCCTCACATCCCCACCAGGAAGGTGGTGCTGTGCTCACTGTTTTGAAGTGGAGGAAAGCGAAACACAGAGAGGTTATGCGATGCAGTCGAGGACACAGAGCTAAGCTGGAGTGGGGTTAGGACATGAACCCAGACTGTCTGACTCATAGCCACTCCAGAATGAGGTGAGGATGGGGCTTGGGCTGGGAGTGCACCGTCTGGAAACTGTCAGCATTCTGCGCCTTCACTGTGAGAAATGTCCCTGCCTCCCCGCCCCCCACCCCAGTAGACCCAGGCAAGAGGGGTCTTTCCCTGAACCTTAGAGAGCCCTGTTCTCATCCTCTTCCTCCTCTCATACCAACCCCAAGGGGTACCAAGGGCACATGCCCATCTGGAGACTGCGCCCCCATTTGAAACCACGCTTTGGGTACCCAGGACTTCAGCCTGCATGGGCTGCCTCCCCGGGTCCCTCTTCCCTAGGCTGACCATGCCCCAGAATTCACAGCCTTAGGTCTGTGGGGTGTCCAGGGACAGCTGTGTGGGGGATCTCTACTGACGGTGCTGGAGAGTGGGGGCGGGGGAAGAGAAGGGAATTGACAGTGGGCAGAGCTTCAGGTAGATGATGTTCTCCCTGGTGCCTGCAGATACGAGGAGCGGGCCTGCCCACCCACCCACTCCACTGCCCTGGGACAGAGCCTGGTGGTGTCAGGGCAAGCACCCTGCAGAGCCTGGGCTGTTAGGACTGGTCTTCGTTTTGTGTGCCCTTGGGCCAGCCCAGACTGTAGCTCTGGGAGCCCCAATCTCCCTGTCGTGGGCACTTGTAGGTATGCCCTGAGGATCAAGACGTATATGTGGGAGCTTCAGGAACTGGCAGGTGGGAACTGACTCCTCAGCCAAACCCCCATGTCAGAGAGATAGAGAGATGTCTCTCCCTCTGCCCGCATCTCTGAGCCTTAGCTGACTTGCCTACGCTTGACTTTCTCTGCCAACAGCACCATGGTTTTGATTCAAGGCTTGAATTCCAGAGCTCCTTCCTTTGTTGGAAATATGTAGAGCACACTCTTTCCAAATGACAATGGATTAAAAGTTAGAGGCACAGCCCAAGGGAAGCCAGGAAGCAGCTGGGGTTGCTCAGCAGAGACACACGCTCCCCAACCTGAGCTTTCCATGATGCGCCTCTGGCTTTGGTCCTGTTTTCCTGGCAGGAGTGATGAACAAAACCACATGTGAGCTCCACAAGCCAAGCCCTGCTGTCAACACCCTGAGATCTGCCTCACTCTCCCTGTGGGGAGGCTGGCCAGATGGTCTCGGGACCCACACGCCCCAGCGTTATCCAACCCATCATTCCCAGGAAATGACTTTCTGGAAATGACCTTTGAGAGACAATGATCAAAGGGGCTAGCAAGGAAGGGGGACTGCACAATGGTCACATGGTAGCATGTTAAAAATAAGGGTTTACCAGGCATGGGGGTGTACGCCTATAGTCCTAACTATTCTGGAGGCTGAGGCAGGAAGATCACCTACACCCAGGAGACCAGGAGACTGAGGCTGCAGTGAGCTATGATCGTGCCACTGCACTCCAGCCTCCTGGGTAACAGAGTGAAGCTCTGTCTCAAAAAAATGATCAAATTAAACAGAACTGCTCCCCTCTTACTCTCAGGAGGAATCCAGGCGGCTCTGGCAGCCTGGCTGGGGGTCGTTCATTCTGGGTTTGTCCATCCCACGGGGGGCGGCTGTGCCTCCCAAGCTGCTCTTCCAGCCTTGGAGAGCTCCATTCCACACAACCTGCCTGAGCCCACAGGAAGTCACCACTGCTCCGGGCATAGGGAGATGAGTACTCAGAAAAGACTTCCGCGAGAACGCATCATTCTGGTGCCTAAGCTGAGTGTGAAGGTGAAGACATGTACCTCCAGGTCTTCCTTCCTAGGGTCGGGGCGGTTTCTTTCAGGACCCCCGGGGTTTTGTGTAGGTGCCTCAGGGGCAGCCCGGGCACTGGTGGCAGCTGTGTGTGTGTTGGGGGACAAGCGCCCCCCCCCATGCCTTTTCAGCCAGGTGCACTGCCTTCTCGCTGTTCGGTCTCATGCTAACTCTGTGGCTGAGGTCTAAGGACACATTTGCCTGAGGCGTGTTCCTTTCCCTCACATGTCCTAAGTGGCAGGGATGTTTGCCTTTTCCTGGAAGAGGTGATTGATTGCAGGAGTCAGATTGTAACCCCAGGCCCGCGGTATCGCTAGCAGAGGCCTTCTTTACACCTTCCCTAGCTCACTTAGCTGTGCGTGGCTCGGAGCAGCCGAAAGGGAGCTCAGCATTTTCTCAGGGAGAAGTTGTCCCTTCTCTAATGATGAGGCAGAACATTCCTGGAAGGACTGAAAGTCACTGAGGGACTGAGTGGGAGAGAGTAAAGGGGGCTTCCCGGAGCCCTGAGTTTAATGGGAGACCTTCAGCCAGAAGCTGAATTGCGAGGTGGACGAGGCATCAGCAGAGGGCAGCAGAGAGACAGCCAGTGAAGAGTGCTGGGGACCCAGATTCTGCACCTGCGGAACCCGTTTCGGGTATCCAACGGCAACCTTATACTGAAAACAGATTAGTTAAGAAAAATTAGGATTATGTTGTGAGAGGGCTTCTTCCTTTTTTTTTAAATTTTGGTAAATTCAAGTGTATTCCGTCTAAAGAGCATTTTTTTTTAATTTTTTTTTTTTTTTGGTCTTGAAATAACCTTTTCTGTAATGATGGTGGCTTGTAACCTTTAACAATAGTTAATGTGGTTGGTTAATTACTCACTCTATGCCAGATCCTGATGTAAAACTGTTACCTATACACACTCACTTAATCCTTAAGAATTACCCTCACGAGGTAGGGACTATTATAATCCTCATTGTGCAGATAAGGAAACTGAAGCACGGATGGATTAAGTAACAAGCCCAAGGTCATGTAGCTAGAAAGTGATGGACCTAAGATTTGAACTCATGGAATCAGGACCACTCCAAGCCATGTGAATAAGTGCTGTGGGTGGGAACAGGGGCAGCCTAGAGCGCTCTGACAGGGCAGGGGCAATGAAGCCCCAGCTGGTCTTGCCATGTGGAAATGAGGGCCCGCTGTCCCCGGATCATTCTGAAACCTAGACTTTTATTGTGATGTTTTCCAATTTGTACATGTTCGCTACTGATTCTTATATGAAAAAGGTCCCTGAGGAAGAAACAAAACATATTTGTAAGGTGCATTGGCAATTTGTGACCTGTGGGTAGATGCTAACAGTTTTAAAAAGGTTAATATTGAGCAAATTAAAAGCTTGTTTTCCCTCCCTAGTTTTTTTTTTTTTTTTTTTTTTTTTTTTTAGATGGAGTTTCGCTCTTGTTGCCTGGGCTGGAGTGAAATGGTGTGATCTCAGCTCACCGCAACCTCCACCTCCTGGGTTCAAGCGATTCACCTGCCTCAGCCTTTCAAGTAGCTGGAATTAAAGGCGCGCACCACTACTCCCGGCTAATTTTGTATTTTTAGTAGAGATGGGGTTTCACCATGTTGGTCAGGCTGGTCTTGAACTCCCGACCTCAGGTGATCCACCTGCCTCGGCCTCCCAAAGTGCTGGGATTACAGGTGAGCCACTGCACCCAGCCCTCCCCTCCCTAGTTTTAAAGAAATCTACTGGTCTGTAGAATCCTCACATCTGGAGTCCTTCTGTCCACATGATGCTGGAAGGCTGCTTGAGCCCCGCTGTGGAAGAGTAGGCAAAAGTGGCCAGGAGGAGGGCATTTCAGCAGCAGTTTTGGGGAGCCCACCTCATCCCAGTGGCTGCACTCCCCCTCCACCAACTGTGGAAACTGCAGGTGCCAGGCTCTCCGCATCATTTGGAAACTCAGGAAGAGTTATGGTTTAGGAACTTCCAACACAGGAATCATCTGTCCATATCCTATCTATTATCTTTAAAAATCCCACAGTGCCCACCCTCTCCTTTTCTACCTCTCTTCCATGCCTTTTCGTCTCCTTTTCACGTCTGTCCCCGATCTGGAAAGAATACAGAAAGCCCCAAAGCCCTGGGTCTCGGTCGCGCCACATGTTCGAGCTCGCTGTCCGGTGCTCTGGTCACTGCGTCGCGCCGTGTGATGACAGTTTCCCTTCGTGTTTCTTTTCCCTCCTTGAATCCAGAAGATGCTCACTGGAGCCTGGCTGCGCTGGGCCTCCCTCCTGCTCCTGGCCAGGCCCGCCCAGCCCTGCCCCACGGGTTGCGACTGCTTCGTCCAGGAGGTGTTCTGCTCAGATGACCTGGCCACCATCCCGCCGGACATCCCGCCACACGCCACAGACATCGTGTTTGTGGAGACCTTGTTCACCACGGTGGAAACCAGAGCCTTTGGTAGCAACCCCAACCTGTCCAAGGTGGTCTTCCTCAACACGCAGCTCCGCCACTTTTGGCCAGATGCCTTTGGGGGGCTGCCCGAGCTGGAGGACCTGGAGATCACAGGCAGCAGCTTCTCAAACCTCAGCGCCAACATCTTCTCCAACCTGACCTCGCTGCGCAAGTTCACCCTCAACTTCAACATGCTGGAGGCGCTGCCCGAGGGTCTCTTCCAGCACATGCCTGCCCTGGAGTCCCTGCACCTGCAGGGAAACTGGTTCCAGGCACTGCCCAGGAGGCTCTTCCAGCCTCTGACCCGTCTGAAGACGCTCAACCTGGCCCAGAACCGCCTGGCCCAGCTCCCCGAGGAGCTGTTCCACCCACTCAGCAGCCTGCAGAGCCTGAAGTTGAGCAACAACGCACTCTCTGGCCTCCCCCAGGGGGTGTTTGGCAAACTGGGCAGCCTGCAGGAGCTCTTCCTGGATGGCAACAAGATCTCAGAGCTGCCCCTAGCGGTGTTCTCCCAGCTCTTCCGCCTGGAGAGGCTGTGGCTGCAGCGCAACGTCATCACGCACCTGCCACTCCCGATCTTCTCTTCCCTGGGCAATCTGACCTTTCTGAGCCTGCAGGGGAACGGGCTTCGAGTCCTGCCTGCCGGCCTCTTTGCCCACACCCCTCGCCTGGTCGGCCTGTCTCTGTCGCATAACCAGCTGGAGACTGTGGCTGAGGGTGCCTTTGCCCACCTGTCCAACCTGAGTTCCCTCACGCTCTCACACAATGCCATTGCTCACCTCCCAGCTGGCATCTTCAGGGACCTCCAGGAGCTGGTCAAGCTCTACCTCTGCAGCAACAACCTGACGGCCCTGCACCCAGCCCTCTTCCAGAACCTGTCCAAGCTGGAGCTGCTCAGCCTGTCCAAGAACCAGCTGAGCACGCTTCCGGAGGGCATCTTCGACACCAACTACAACCTGTTCAACCTGGCCCTACATGGCAACCCCTGGCAGTGTGACTGCCACCTGGCCTACCTCTTCAACTGGCTGCAGCAGTATACCGATCAGCTCCTGAACATCCGGGCCTACTGCGCCGGCCCTGCCTACCTCAAAGGCCAGGTGGTGCCCGCCTTGAACGAGGAGCAGCTGGTGTGTCCCGTCACCCGGGACCCCTTGGGCTTTCGGGTCACATGGCTGGATGACAGAAAGGCAGGGGGCAGCTGGGACCTGGCTGTGCAGGAAAGGGCAGCCCGCAGCCAGTGTACCTACAGCAACCCTGAGGGCACCGTGGTGCTCGCCTGTGACCAGGCCTGGTGTCGCTGGCTGAACGTCCAACTGTCTCCTCAGCAGGGATCCCCAGGACTGCCGTACAATGCTAGCCAGGAGTGGGACCTGAGGTCGAGCTGCGGCTCTCTGCGGGTCACGGTGTCTATTGAGGCTCGGGCAGCGGGGCCCTAGGAGCAGGGGCAGGTGGCCTCTGGGATCCGACCAGGCGGCGGGTGGGGTGGAGAGGAGCTGAGTCTCTGAAGCCTTGGCTTCTCACGTGCAAGGCACAGGGTTACATGCCCGAGGGGTGGGAGTGGAGTCTGGTCTGCTGCACTAGCCAGCGCCTCCTCCTCCTCCTTCTCTTCCTGCACTGCTTTTCCCGGAGTGTGAGGCTAACAAGCCCATCCTAAAGCTTTAAAGCACCCTGGGAAGCTGCACCATAGACTGGAGAATAAAATATCTTCAGCCTGACGCTTCCCCATTATTTAACACCCATCTGCTCTGGCCTATACCCTGAGGCCCATCCACTGCATCCCAGTGACGCAAAGTGGAGGTCACTGCCTTCCATGCCCAGCGTCTGTTTCACTTTATCTCCCTGGAATTGTGGTATAGAGAAGAAAAGGGTGTGGTAGAAGCAGAGGTGACCAGAAAGCAAGGGGCAGGGCTGTGACGGGTGTGTGGAGACCCCGTGCTCAGCACCCACCTCCACGCTTCGCTCAGGAGAAACTGAGACGAAACGAAACCTCAGGAAGGGAAACCCCAGACGCTGGGCTTTGTGACACAGAGCCACCAGAGGGGAGGTGGTGTCTGCTCCCCGCACACGCTGGCTGCTCCTAAAGAGAAGGTTTGGGGTGTAGTGGCGCAGGCTGGGCCAGGTCGCAGGTTCATGCTCGCAGCATCTGAGTACAAGCTGCTCACTCACCATTTCCCTTTGTGCGGTTTTTTTTTTTTTTTTTTTTTTTTTTTGGTGGAGTTTTGCTCTTGTTGCTCAGGCTGGAGTGCAGTGGCGTGATCTCGACTCACTGCAAGCTCTGTCCCCTAGGCTCAAACAAGTCTCCTGCCTCAGCTTCCCAAGGAGCTGAGATTACAGGCACGTGCCACCAGGCCTGGCTAATTTTTGTGCTTTTAGCGGAGACAGGGTTTCACTTTGTTGGCCGGCCTGGTCTCGTACTCCTGACCTCAGGTGATCCACCTGCCTTGGCCTCCCAAAGGGCTGGAATTACAGGTGTGAGCTACTGCGCCCAGGCTCTCCCTTGGTTTTGAAGACACTGCCCTCTTACCCAGCTCGGCCACCCCTGCAGTCCTCCTGGGCCGCCTCCTACAGCTTCATCTCAGGGTTCGCTGTCCTCCCACGTCCTGGGCAGTGTGGCATGCACCCCTGGGTGGATGCCTCCTCTACCGCAATGAGCCCAGCTCTCCTCTTGGGCTCAGCTCTTTTCAGCCCCAGGCTGAAAGCCCCTGCTCAGAGACCCGAGTTCTGTTGGCCACAGACACGTCTAACCAGGCCGTGTCCCCAACTCCCCCACCCCCACATGGACCAGCCCAGGAGCTGGGCGCCTTCTCTACTCGCTCCTCCCCCTCAGTCCTCAGGGCCTAGGAGTCTGCCAATGCTCAGGCTTTCAGCCTCTGTGTCCCTTTAGCCGCCCCTCCCCTCCTGCTCCCAGATGCTCTGTAGCCCAGGCTGACCCACTGCACAGCCCTGTCTGTGGGTTCCAGCTGTGTTATGGGCTGGCCTGGGAGAAAGGATCGGGCAGGGCGGAAGAGGGGACCCAGATGCACAGTAGGTTCTCAGGAGCTCGTGGCCTCTGGGAGAGATCGGCCACATGGGATGAAAACATGAGGCAGAAAGAGGTCAGGGCAGGCCAGTGCTGGGGAGTTGAGGGGGCGAAGCTGCGGAATGCAGCTGCTGCGAGAAAGCCTGCACTGGATCTTGGGCCTTAAGGCCGGCTCCAGGTAGAGCAAGAAAAGCCTAAACTAAGGGATGGGCCGGGCAAGGAGGAGGGGTCAGGCTGTGGAGAGGGGATGAGGAGGAAGAGATCAGGCTGGAAACCCAGGCGGAGCTGACTCTGCAGAGCCCTGGGCGGACTGAGGAGTGTGCATGCTTCCGAAGGAGGCCCCAGGCCGTTATTGAAGGTGGGGCAGAGGAGGGACACACTCTTGCTTGGGGCGGCTGGCTCAGTGAGATCCTGGGAAAGCAAGGCAGGGAACAGTGTGGGCTGTGGCCTGGTTTGAGATGAGAGCCTGGAGGGCAAGGGATGCCATGGAAAGAGAATCAAAAAGCTTCAGCAACACAACAGCAGAGACATAGGCGGAGGAACGGAAAGACCTGTGTGAATTACAGAAATGCAAATAAAAACACCATAGATATTGCTCTACACCAACAGGCCTGCAAATATGACAAAGGGATCTGTGCCAAGTGTGGGCCAGGGTGTGGGCATCAGGGAACCTCCAGGTGCCCCTGGCATAGCCCCCCGAGAGCAAGCCAGCAGGTCTAAGGAAGGGTTTGGTGCGGGAGTTGAACGGGCGGGGTTGGGAGATGTGGGATGGGGCGCCGGGCTGAGTCTCAGGTTTCCCTCCTGGGTGTCTGGGGGACAGTGAGGCCAGGAAGCAGGGGCAGGGACAGGTTTGGGGAAAGAAAGGTGAGACGTGCCTGCATTAGACTAGGAAGCACACTGTCTTCCTCATGTCCTGTGGGGTATTTTCTTTCTTTCTTTCTTTCTTTTTTTTGAGACAAAGTCTCGCTCTGTTGCCCAGGCTGGAGTGCAATGGTATGATCTCGGCTCACTGCAACCTCCACCTCCCCGGTTCAAGAGATTCTCCTGCCTCAGCCTCCTGAGTAGCTGGGATTACGGCATGCTCCATCACACCTGGCTAATTCTTGTAGTTTTAGTACAAGAATAGTTTCACCATGTTGGACAGCTGGTCTTGAACTCCTGACCTTGTGATTCACCCACCTTATCCTCCCAAAGTGTTGGGATTACAGGCATGAGGCACCCTCGCCTGGCCTTTATTTCTTATTTATTTCTTAGAGACAAGAGTCTCTTTATGTTGGCAAGGCTCACCTTGAACTCCTGGCTTCTAGTGATCCTCCCACCCCAGCCTCCTGAGTAGCTGGGACTATAGGCATACACCACTGAGCTTGGCTTGTGGGACTTTTTTTAAAGGCTTCCTGTGGCTCAAATCAATGACATTCTAAGGTGATGGAAGGCGGATCAGCACATTCACCAAAGCAACAGACTCCCAAATTCATTTGGCCTAAGAATAACCTTGTCTGGATCCTTCCAAGGCTGGGGATCTTGGCCTTGGGCTGCTGGCTTCCACCTGGATGTGACGACCCTCTCTGGGAAAGTGACCCACATCTTAGCACATCGCAGGAGACTCGGAAATCCCCATGGCCTGAATGCCTGGCGACGAGCCACAGACACGTCCTGTCCCCTGGCAGCGATAAAGGGATAAGATAATCAAGCAGACATTTCTCTCAATTAAATTTCTCCCTCAAAACATAGCGCTGAGTTAAATTACGACATCATAACCTATGTGCCAAATGGTGTTGGGGAAAGAGCACAGTCCGAGGTGAGGCCGGTGAAGGGGCAGCTGGCAGTGTGGCCTGCTTCCCGGGCACCTCATGCCCTGTCTCCTGCCGATGTGTCTCGTCTGGCCCAGCAGGAAACTTTCCCACGGGTTCCGAACTGGAAATCCGCAAGCGGCTCCCCCACCTGTTTTCTTAACATTCTTCAGCCTTTGGTAAATTACACCTCCTCTCTGAGCCTCCGTTTCCTCCTCTATATAACAGGGAGGTTGGCTCTCAACGCTGGTTGAACCTTTCAGTCACCTGGGGAGGGTTTTAATAACCGTAACCAAAATGCAGGTGCCTGGGACCCATTTTTTGAGATTCTGATTCAATTAGCCAGTGGTGGTGGTGTGATCAGAAAACAGTCTTGATCCAGACCCCGAAAGAGGGTTCTTGGATCTCACGCAGGAAGGAATTCAAGGCCAGTCACTGAGTGCAGTGAGAAGAGACATTTTATTGAAAGCTACTCCCTTACAGGGCAGGGTGTCCTCAGAAGGCAAGCGGAGGAACGCATCATCTTTGTTTTTAGTTTTTCTTATCTAGGGGCCTTCTCTATGAAAGACTAAAACTCAGTTGTGACTACATGTGGATGGGCTGACGGCATGACAAAATTTATTATTTTGTTGGTTTAAAGAAAACTATTCCTGGAATCCTATGAAACTGAGAAAAAAAGAAAAAAAGAAAACTACTCCTTGCAAGGCCGAGGTGGGTGGATCACGAGGTCAGGAGATCGAGACCATCCTGGCTAACACAGCAAAACCCAATCTCTAATTAAAAAAATTAGCTGGACTTGGTGGCATGTGCCTGTAATCCCAGCTACTTTGGAGACTGAGGCAGGAGAATCTCTTGAACCTGGGAGGCGGAGGTTGCAGTGAGCCTAGATCAGGCCATTGCACTCCAGCCTGGGCGACAGAGTGAGACTCTGCCTCAAAAAAGAAAAAAAAGAAAACTATCCTTGCCATTTATTTAGCATGTGAGTACATCAAAGCATAACTATAATTTTTCTGAAAGCATATATTGCTATGGGTGTTAACAAAAAGAATCAGACTCTGTAAAATATCTGAAAAGATTTATTGTGAGCCAAATATGAGTGACCATGGCCGGTGACCCAGCCCTCAGGAGGTCCTGAGAACGTGTGTCCAAGGTGGCTGGGATGCAGTTTGGTTTTATACATTTTTAGGGAGCCGCAAGACATCAATCAAATACATTTAAGAAATACATTGGCTTGGTTCAGAAAGGTGGGACAATTCAAAGTGGGGGCTTCCAGGCTACAGGTAAATTTAAACATTTTCCAGTTGCCAACTGGTTGAGTTTGTCTGAAGACCTGGGATCAAGGGAAAGGAACACTCAGGTGAAGATAAAGGATTGTGGAGACCAGGTGTTATTGTGCAGAGGAAGCTTTCACAGAGCAGACTTCAGAGAGAGAGCGAGCAGGTTGTAAAATGTTTCTTCTCAGACCGACAAAGGGCACCTGGCTCTTATTTGATTATCCCCTGGATCTGGAAAGAAAGGACAGAGAACAAAGGGGTAAGGAGACCCTCTAGAGGATGTGTGTTTTCCTCACAACAAGCTTTGCCGGGCAGTTTCAAGGCGCGGCAAGGAAATATAATTTGGGGTTAAATATTTTTTCCCTGTCTCTTAATGTTATGTCAGAATCAGATTAAAAAGTAAGTCATGATATATAGGGTCAAATAAAACCCATCTGAAGAGAATTTATGGTTTGTGGGGCATGACTCCCTAAACCCCTTAGGTGGGAATCTGGGCAAAATAAAAGGTCGGAGCTTAGTCCTCATGGGTTTTGGGACACCCGGGCTTCTGTGGTTGTAGAAGTTTTCCTTGCAAGCCATTACTGAGCTGCTTCCTTGGCTGTGAACATCGTAGGACCGTGGATGATTGGCCA